TAGTTTGGGATATTAGTAAAGCTTTGCATAAATTTTGTTCTTCGCACGTTCTATTTGTATTCCACCTCGATGTCAATGCAAATGAGAGTACATCGCACTCGGGTTTCCGTTCTTAAGATTAAAGATTCAACTATTTTATATTTTATGTTTTATTTTGATTATTAATTATATTAGCTGTATTTTATAACTGGACTCGAATTTGGTATTCGCTCGTTATGATCGATGTTATCAGTAGTAAGGAGTATTGAGCTTCCCTTCATCGTGGATGCTCGTTATGTTTCATCTTAATATAATCTTTGTTATTTGTAAATTTCAATAAACAGCATAATTTGAAATGTAAACTCGATATGTGCAGCATTTATATTGCGTCAGGTTAATTATCAAATGTTGCTTTTATCAAATGTCGAGCATGAGGTTAAGATTAAACAATATTTTTAATTTAAACTATTAAATGATGATGATGTTATGTGATATGATAATTAGTTATAAATACGCATAGTTTGAAACATAAATATTGTGGATTCTTTAAGATAATATTCTTATATCATTCAACGTATTCATGTACTATATGTATTTGATATTGCTAGATATATACACTATATATAATAAACGTGGCAGATTTCTTAGCCGTTGAAATATTGAACATCAGACAAGCATAGATGAACTTATGCCAAGTTATACCTGCATGCATAATGTCACATGCTTTCTTCCGAGAATATAATACGTCCTAAGAATTCCTTTGCATTTTTATTTGATATATAATTCAAAATATTTTTGTCTTCCTTTTACTACACACACACACACACACACACACACACGCGCGCGCGCGCGCGCGCGCAGAGAGAGAAGGGGGGGGATTACACTATGAAAATTTTATATGATTTTTTAAATATTTTATGTATAAAAACGAATTATATAAAATAACAGTTACAATAAATTAAGACAATCATTTTTGTATGATGCATCGATCGAACAATTACGGCCCAAGAGCTTGAGGAAAAGATTGATCTTTATATTTTGTTGCGACTTTTGTGAGATTGCAAAAGTGATTATTGTGATTTGCTCTCATTATAGATAATTTTGTCAAACGATGCCACAATTTCAACCACGGGCATTTTATATTGGAATGATGTGTGTAATTAGCTGTAATGAAAAATTGAATTACACAAAAAATTGATCGTAACGCATGGTCATATTATTTTACAATTAACAGTTGTATGTAAAATATAATTGCATATCGCGAAACTATGTGGAAAAGAAGTTATATAACAAGAAGTTATATAAACAAATGCGATTGTATTAGAAAACATTATGTTTCAAAGTAATCAAAATTTAAGAAACGAATATTTGAGATTAATGGTTAGAAAATATTTTTTGTTTTAATCATATGAATTTTTCTCGTGTTTCTCGTGACGCGGAAAAAGGGAAATATCGAGAGAAAAAGAGTTATTCTAGCGTGAGGAAAGTCATCGACCAACCAAGCTGTAACCTTGACCGTTTGATGATCGAACGAGCATGAAGTAGCGGCTATATCGTGCCCACAAAATTCGACAATCCACATTCGATGAACCAAGAAAGCTCAATACACCGCAGATGTCGCATGGCGACGGTTTGTATGTAACATCAGACGTCTTCCTTTACGTGATGCCACAAAATATCATTGTCCAGCCGCTCAGATGATTTTTGGAATCGATGTCCAGATGGTTGATCATCAATTCTTTTGATGTTAGCAAGAGACAGATTTCATCGGCAATCGATTTGTCGCGATAAGCGATCTGTATCTATCATTAATGTTTCTGAGAAACCGGTTAGAAGACAGAAGATGAGATCGTAAAATAGTGGATGAGTTGGATCTCAATAGGATTTACTTCTTTGATTATACTTTTTGTTTTTAGCATAAACGCAAAGAGTTAGCATAAAATTCACAGTATTTACATATTTACATAGTTTAAATTACATGTAATACAAATTACAATAACAAGTAATCAATTGTGATAAGTATCAAATAAATACATCATTTTTAGTTAAAAGAGATAGTAATAGCTTGATATTTTCTTATTTTTGTGACGGGATAATTAAAATTAACTAAAAATTTTAACATTAAGAAAAAGGATATTTTTGGACATATTTTCACTTGATGATATAAAAATTATGATACGTGCGGTTTTCTGATTTATTAGAATATAACATATAATTAATATATAATATTTGAAAGTTTAACTTTATTTTTATACAAATTTAAAAAAATAATTGTTTACAATTAATTATACTTTTATTATTATTTTTTTGTTATTGTCTATTTGCCGATTAATTAATTTAATTAATTTAAACGAAGTATCAGAAAAGGAATTTTACATTTAAAAATAACTTAATTTTTTGACAATTTTGCGTAATCACAAATTTCATTTACCGTTAATCTATTTTTACCGAATGTTATTGACATTATCTCGAGAGTTAAGTAACCAGGAAATTTTATTGTAGGATTATACGAAACAATTTGGTGATTTTTTTTAGTATGGAAAGGTTTATCAACCTTGTAATACACGCTAAGTATGGAAAAATGAACACATCAATAATATGGAATACAATGCAATAATATGCACTGGCATGTATTTGATGAAATTCACCATCGCATATTATGGTGTTTATTTGCCCGGTTTATTTGCCGATTTTCAGGCTTTCGGGTTTCTAAAGACTGCGACCCCCTCAAAGAGTCAGCCGCGAGACTTGTGCCGAGGGGATCAGAGAGGTCGCGGAGAAACGGAAGGTGTCGATCGATGAGTCGTATGCCGTATGAAGACGGGTTGGTTTCCGCGTGACTTGACTGTCGCGCGTGTTGTCGATTCAAGCGAACATAGTCATTGGCTTTTGGTATCGTTTCATTGTCGCCGCCGTGAGTGAAAGATGCGGTATATGACAATCAGCCGATAGAATTTAATTCGATTCAATGATCAGCCGAAGAATCCAGCGATAGAGATGATTGCCCTTAGCATGAGTTATTAATGAAACATAAATATATAAAAATAAGAACATAATTCTAATAATTATCAGCTTGATACTTTAATTGAAACGAATCGATATTTTGAATTATATCTTTAAGTCATAATTTATAAATTTTTATCTTTGCGAATTATAGATATTTGTAGAATGATAACTTGGTTTTTTATATAGCGTGTGCATATGACACACGCTATATAGCGTGAAAATTATAATTTTATAATTAAGTAAGTTAAAATTTGTTTCCTTATAATAAGAATAATGATGTCGCTCGATTGATGAAGTTATCAATAAAATTAAAATCACGAATGCTAAAAAATGACGGTAAATAGTCATGCCAAGAGAGATATCTCTCTCTCTCTCTCTCTCTCTCTCTCTCTCTCTCTCTTCCCCACATCTCTATCCCTCTCTTTCTCTTTCGTGAATTTGACGATAATGTCGCCTACGGTTCAATACGGGTATCACGATACCCCACGCTGCCTATCACTATATTCTGCTCCATTATATTTTACCTAATGTTTTCATCTTGTTCATATTTTGGAAATGCTTATACATTTTTTAGTGCCGACGGAATCTTTTGAATATTTGTATATATTAAATTTTGTGATGTGCCACATTTTCATTTTTAAATCGAAATTATAGTTAACTGTTAACAATTTTATTAATGTTCAATACATCTATGTTCAATACATCTACCATAACATTACTACTAAAGATATTCATAAGAATACAGTTAAAAGTTTAAAACGTAATTGGAACGTAATAACAAACATGATAAAAAAATTTATAAAAATAAATTATTTTAATCGTAAGAAACTTAATATAAAATTAATTTTATATAAAATTATTTGTAAAAATATAAAAAATATATATAAATGGTGTTTCAATCGCCGCAAGCGAATAACTCAAAAAGTGAGGGAGATAGAAAAAACGATGAATACAAAAGTTGTAAGATTTGTAGGGGGACAAACAATAATGACTTTGATGATCTTGGGATCCAATTTCGTAGTCATTGCAAAGTCAAATTGATTTTTTAAAATGAAAACCCCTATTTTTAATGATTTCCGTTTAAAAAAGATTCTTGAGGATCATTTAAGAGTCAAAATAAACTTTATCTCAAAAGAAGCCAGAATCCCAGAATTCCAGGATAATTCAGCAAAGTTGAAATGTTTATTTTGCAAATATTAAATAAGTAATTTATTTATTATTAAATTTTCCATCTTCAATTTGTTCGATATTAGTCGTTAATTTCTTCAAATTGCTTTGCAACTAATAAGCATATTATTTTCTTGTCTACATAATATCATCTATATAAGATTTTATATATTGTATTTTTATATTACTTATTTTAACTTTTTTAAAATTGTTTTAATAATTTTATTTTTTAAATTAATTAAATCTAGTTAACTACCTAATTTATGTTATATTTATACATAGATGATATTGAACACTTGACACAAAATTCTTAACTAGTACATTTTTTAACAAAAATATATAAATATTCCAACTAATATAATACATATACTATAATAAATATAATAAAAAACATAATATAAAACATAAATATAATAAAATCAAATAGTCAAAGAAAAGAAAAATACGGCTTAATAATTATCTAGCAAACAAAAGTTTAGAAAAAGCTTTATGCAATTGAAACAAAATGTGTAATATTGTTTGATAGACATAGAGTGAACGCGAGACTTTTAGAAGTAAAGTGGAATCGTAATCTTTGACATAATTTATTGTTAAAGTTTTTGTATAATAGTGATACGTTTAAGTAAAGAATATAAGAAAAATAATTTTTTCTCTTTCGGATTTTATTTGCATAATCTATATATTAATAAAATTTTTGGCTCTAGTCTATATATGTTAATATTTTTATATATGTATTTTGATTATGAGTTTACTGTTATATAATATCTTTTTAAAAAATTTAAAAACATTTCTTTAACGTTATGAATAATAATAATTGCTAATAAATGACTTAAAATTCATTGTTTCAGTATCTGGAACGATGAATAAAAAAGAGGAAGAGATGGCAGTATCTTCAGACACAGAAGAAACTACTGTCTCGGGCACGAGAACGGGCAGGATAGGAAGCGATCCAGGAGGAGGTATAGATCTATTAGCAGCTCTGCAGCTTCACAATACTACTCAGCAAGGTGTTACGCAAGTGCCGGGTCTAGTTAGACTGAAATCAGCTTATTATCTTCAAGGTAAGTCAACTTTATTTGATATTTTTGATCCAAGGCATTTTTTATCCCAGATATAAAATCTTTAACTATTTAATAAGAATAATAAAATTCTTACATTGTAATGACCTTGACTTTAAATGGTTGATATTTCCACAGAACAGATTGAATTAACAATCTAATATCATTTGTTCTTTTTATGTGAAATATAATTCAATTTTTTTCAATTTAATTTTGTAACAGAAAATTATAACGGAAATTTTGTAATGGAAAAGTTTGAATTTTAACTTTAAGAATTTATCTTAATATTTTAATATTAAAAAAAAATAAAATATCGACGTTTTACCATTGTAAAGATTGTAAAAAAAATTAACATTATAGAATATAATTCATATTTAACTGACAATTTAGAAGTATCGAGTGTGACTCGGCATAGGAGCTTCTGTGAATAAAATTGATGTCGAGTCACACTCGACGTAGGAATGCAAAGGGTTAAAATGAAACTGTTATAGGAGGTTTATAAATTATAAAGCAGATACCTAAAAATGACAATGATGACATAGCATTACTGACAAAGGCAAATTGATCGGAATTGAATCAATTTCCGAAAAATAAATCAGAAAAAATGTCTAAAACTCGCTATTATAATTGCAACTAAATTGATTATATCAAACTGCAGGAACGTACAATATAGGAAGTATAAGAGTATAAATTCGAATAACAAATCAAATAAGGCTTTTCTCGTTTATTTTATGTCATAGTCATTTCAGACAAAAGGGCATGATACATTGATTTGTGTACATCTTCACGCAGGACACATATATTTGGATTAGTTAAATAAAGATGTTCAGGCATGCACTACAGAGATATCCGACAGTCAATAGTAAGATGTGAATAGAGTAAAACTACAATCATTAAAGCAGATAAAAGGATCTATAACAAGATCCAAATCAGAAATGTCTTTTATATGCCAAACATCTCGGCTAATATTCACTTTGTCAGTAAAATTT